CCTGGAGGTCCTAGGCTTGAGGCTCCAAGCTGGTGAGTTAGTTTGACTATAGCTAGAAAGAGGCTGAAATGCCTCTGTGAGTCTTCCTGATTCTCGAAATGGATGGATAACTGTAATTTACCACCACTTGTTCCTCTTTTTAATAAAAAAAAATACAGTTAACTTTATTATCTTTCATTAAATAAAATTGACAGTGTCAAAAAAATCAACGTCATAGTTAACTTTTTGATAAGTTGAAAGCCGTGTGTCAAATAATTAGAGAAAAAACACGAAGGAGAGCCAAAGTTTGAGACAGCGCCTGTGGCCATGGAGGGTGGAGAGCCGCGATGCCAATAAGGCATGAGGTACTGGCTTACGTACCGCCCTCTTTTGGCAAACCAAAAACAATTGAAATTCAAAGACAAAACTTCGTCTGCTGATATCAGATATTTTATCGAACCTTCTAAGAAGGAATATAAAACTGTTAATGTGGCATGCATGGGGGGTCGGTTTTTGTTTATTTCAGACACAATTGAGAGGCTGGAAAACATTGGGAAAATTATATAAAATAGGGTATCAATCTTAATCTTATATCTTAATTTATGATTATTTTGCGTGCTGTGGAATACGAGTCACACGATCAGATTTTTCTGTGGCGTCTTTCTTAGAAGTTAGGAGGAAGAAAGCAACCCCTAATGGCACGTTTACTAATCCGTAATCAGATTTAGAGGAATTGAATTGAGGAGGAATTAAAATGAGATGAAATCAAAATTAGATTCATGTTGAAGTTGTTTACTAAAACTGTATGGAATCGGAGTGTAAATGATGCATATTCTATATTAGTTGTTTACCAATTCACATGAATCGGAATCAAAAGCAATTTGATTACTAAAATACCCTTGTACAAATCAGATATAAAAATTTCATCTTTTTTCTATCTATCTTGCTTTGGACCCTCCTAAGAAAGACAGGTCCCTCTGCCATAGCTGTTGATCTTTCCCTCTCATGGGTTTCGTTAACGCCATTCATTGCATGCTTTTGGTTTTCAAATATTAGCTGAATTCAATCTCTCTGGGGCTCTGGATATTTTTTTGCGGGTCTGAAATTTTGCTTTGTTGGTTTTAAATAAATGGTCACCAATGCATCTGGGTTCTTTATTGCTCTTTACAGTTCCAACCTCGAGGAGGAAGATTCAACCGTCAATACGCATTAATGCAGGCCCTCCCCCTCCTCTCCTCACCCTCTAAAAATTCCCGTCTCCTTCTTATTCTTCTTCTTCTCTGTCTCTGTCTTTCTCTTATGTATGCTTCTTCACTAGGTTTTGATTTGAAACCTGAAGACGCTAGTGCTGTGCTATCGGAGACAAGGGAAGGAGATAAGGTATATTGGGTAGAAAAAACTGATTCCGGGTTGAGGCTTTCTTCAGAAATCCAAATACCACATATTGGTTGGTAATCCAATTCCAAGCAAATCAGGGATTTGACTCCCTATTCTTGGTGGGCCCCACATACAATTTCATTCTCCCAATGTTAGTAAGCACATGAATCACTCAGAATAGTGGCCCTTTACTACAGTGGTGAAAATATGTTGTGCCCTTGCACGACGGTTTGGGTTTGAACCCCGTCGGTAACTAATCTAACATTTAACTTACTAACGCTATCGTTTCACTAAAAAAAAAAAGAATCACTTGGAATGAATGCAATTCTCATTCATCTCACTCCATTCCCCTTACGTAAACACACCTTAAATGTGGAGTGGCAAAGTTGGTAGGGAGGGAGCAGGAGGATGGGAATTAGATGAGTTAATGAGGGACGGTTGGACGTACAATAAGTGATTTGCCAAACTTGACACAATGCGACACTGACACGGTGACACTTATACAACACTCCAAAAAGTTGCCTATAATTCGCGTATTGTTGTAGAATTAGTGGGTGAATGCCCACTCAAAGGAATAAAGACTTAGGAATAGTATTTGATACTTTTAAAAGTGTCATCATTGTATTTGTACAGTTGTTATTACGAAAATTGCTCTATAAATAAAGCACTATGTGTGTTATCAAAATGCACACTGCAAGAGAAAGAATCAAAGAAATAATATCAGTATATCTCACTCCCTCTCTTTATCTGCCATCTTTTGTGTTATAGCTACTAAAGTTATAGTGTGACATTTTGCACTCGCTTCGCTCCTGTCCTTAGCAAATATTATTTCTCTAACTTTTGCTTATTTATAACACATGATTTTTTTGAATTGTATTTTTGACATTTAAATGATCAGTGCATTTTTTTAAGGATTATTAGTAAAGCACATGCAAGTTTTCTTGCCGGGATAATTGACCCACTTGAGCTATATATGTATAATCCAGGTTGCATTTTGTAGTAAGATTTAAAAATTTAGGCAAGTCATTAAGATCTGAACAACAATTTGAGGTCGTGTTATGCTTAACTAAACTACGGACACATTATCGATATTTTCAGATAACATTCATAACATGCTGGTACGTTTTGTTACCTATCGACTGTCGGTAAATAACAGGACAAATATCATATTTGTGAATTTATATTTTAACCTCATGGGCTCACTGTTATAGTTTTGCACTCCTTTTGGAGAAATGGTTTTCTCAGTCCAATAATCTTTGGCAAAGGGCCTAATAACGTTTAACTAGTTGATCCACACGAAAATGGGCTAGACTAACTTGCAGCTGGATCTGTCCATGTTGGCTTGGCTTCTTTTTGTTTCCCAATTCTCTTCTTTCTTCCACTTTGGCTGATTTTAAGCATTACTGAAAAAAGTTTAAAATGAAAAATCAAATCTACGTAACGATATTCATTAATTGACGTGGCATAGCCACATCAGAAAGTTAAGGAAAGATGTCAGTTTATTGTGTAAGAATAGCAATTATAGATTACTGTAAACAAAAAAAATGTATCATGAAATCTAGGATTCTTTCAGTTTAAGCTTCGTTATCTTGTACAAATAGAAAACTATCTAAAATTTCCACCCTCTTTGAATTAAGCTAAGAGACTACAATTGCTAACAACTGATCTCAGTTTAGCAGGGCTATAAACATTCGTGATCATTTGTCAACATTTTACTTGATCGAGACAAAGGTATAAGGAAAATAGTGAATTAACTTATGAGTGACACATCCCTTGCTTAGGACAATGCAACGCTTCTCAGTTCTTAATCAACTCTCATGAGTGGCGGATTCAAGAAGTTCTCCTCCTGTAGGCAAGATGAAGTATGTATGTCACTTTTCTTAATTGCTCTTAGCTAACTGAATTTTAAAGGCGTTTTGTCATACATCTTACTTTCATGACATCCATGCTCACATGAGCCTTCCCCTGTCTGTAAAGCTAAAACCATTGAAAGTCTTGGTTTTGGGCTAATGGGGACCTGGTTTATTGGTCTTAGTCGTATTCCAATTAGGTCTGCCACATGGTTGGGTCCAAATGGCTACCTCATTGCATTGGACTGCAAATAAGCTTAACCTCTTCGGTCCCCTTCACTCCCTCAGACTTCATATCAGTGATAGCTACACACTCTATTATTAGACTAATTATCCAAAAGACTCTTTAAAATCAAAGGGTCGTGCAAAGGAAATTATCATTGGTTCATACTCTCAATGCTCTATATTTCTCATCAAATAGTCATTCTCATATACTTTTTTCTCGCAAAAGACGGGAAATATGTGAGACCATGTTAATTGCGTCAAACGATGATCGCATTATTTTTCAATTTTTAATTTGTTAATCTTAAAAGATTATGAACTTACGTATATGAGCCATCACATATTAATGGAGAGATAAACAAATGTTAAACAACGGTGGTTTATGAGACAACGACGTTTGATAGGGGAAGATTAGCAACTGATGCATTGGAACAGAAACTTTCCAAACCTGGAGCTGTATCATATATATAACTGAAAAACCTGCAGAGCTACATCATCTGATGCATCTTTCCATGTGAGAACTCATGTAGTCAATTTCAACCTGCGGAGTAAGCAAGGGCTACTTTTGCAGCCTTCTGCAGTGTTTGCATGCGTTTGCTTTTTGAACGTGGCTTGCTTCAATTCGGCAACTTTGTCAAAGACTTGGTTGGTCGTAACTTGTAGCTAAATAGTGCCCCAAATAAAATACTATAATTTTAAAAGCAGATGGCTGAGATGGCTCCATCAAAAGAAGTTCCAGTTTTACGGTTTGCATGTGCCTTCTCCTTCAGCAGTCGCAGACCTAATCGAGCCCTTTATGTTTAAATTCGAAACCCTGCCCTACCCAATTCTTTATTTGTAGGGGAACAGTTTTCCTAGGCTTTTTTTTTATCTTACTTTGTTGGCATTTTGTTTTAACTTTGGGCATGTAATCTTCTTCTGGTCTATATGCCTTGGTGGGTGTGCAGCTTGTATCTCTCGGTCAAAAAATATGGGAGATTGTTTATTCTTATAGAAAATCAAGTATTGGATTCTGTTATTCTGCTTCTTTTATCTTTTGGGTGGAAATTGTACATCAGTTTGAACGAAAATTATAGTAAGACCTTGTGTATCACACACATCGAATGAATTGAAAACTAAATGAGCGTGAAGAATTGACGGATTCAATGTTCAAGAATTTTAATGTATATTGTCCTATTTGAAAATACTTCGGTTTGTTTCTTCAATTCTGTAGTTTTTTATCTTCTATATTTTTCATGATTTACTTTTGTCTTTGTCTCGTGTATACTACTATGATTTACATGTAGAAAACGTAATACTAAAATTCAAACGGAGAGAAAAGACAAAGGAAAAATGCATAAAATATTGAAAAATAGATTGATAATTTAGTAGAATCAACACTTCATTGACGGATTCAATGTTCAAGAATTTTAATGTATATTGTCCTAATTGAAAATACTTAGTTTGTTTCTTCAATTCTGTAGTTTTTTTCTATATTTTTCATGATTTACTTTTGTCTTTATCTCGTACTATGATTTACATGTAGAAAACGTAATACTAAAATTCAAACAGAGAGAAAAAGACAAGGGAAAATTGCGTCAAATATTGGGAAATATATTGATAATTTAGTAGAATCAACACTTCAACACTTGTCTTCTCGTCTAGGTCATCAAGATTCTCTAACAGAAACCCTAACGCAGCCTCAGAGGAAGAGGGCGAGGTTGTAATCATCATGAAAATTGACTAAAAAAAAAGTAAAAAGAAGAGGGATAAAGTATAAAATATTGGGTAAAAAAGAGAACTTGGAGGGAAAGAAAAAGGAATGAGATATTTTGTCTCTCATTTGTTTTCTTTGACTTCCCTCCTAAATATGTCTAGTTGAAGTTGAATAGTTCTTCAATTAATCACTTTAGAATGTCGTTTTCAGCAGGCCACAAGCTCGACATGCGATCAGCAATGAGAGCCCTTTCGGCAGCTAAGTGCGCCGGCAGTCGTGGTGATTGAACCCACTAGGGAAGATGGCCTTGCACCCAAGCTCGAAGCCCTGGCATAGCTTGAGGAAGCTCCGGCACCCGATGCCCTAAAAAACGCACCGTTTAACATCAAGTCTCCTTCCGACCTCCAATTCCAGTTCTTCCATTCACTTTCTGGTGCATCCTCATGTTTGGTCACCTGCGTACAAAGTTTGTAACATATTAATTATAAGTTAAACACAAATTGTAAAATTAATTTGTAACATTTTTCTTATGTGCATAAAAATAATTTGATGGGTTTTCACCTCTTTGCTGAATCTGATATCTGGTGCGGCAAATCTGTTCCCTTGGCTATTGATTGTAGGGTTTGCACTCCCTCCAATAGCGTACATCTCCCAATGGGTATAGTCATTGTTCACCACATGGAAATATCCATGCCTACATCTGCAAATGTGAATCAAAAAGGTTATGGGAACTGTGTGTTTTTTCAACTGTTCGTATTAACATTATCAGTTGTCAGCAAGACTAAAATAATTAAACATCAAGTAAATTTTGAAAGCATGAAAACCATGGACCACCAACCTATTTACTTTATACAAATTAAATAAAAAAATTGCCCAACTAATTAAATTCTACTTTTTTTCTAATTACCTTGGCATTCTTTGAACCAACCCTTCTCCAAAGTGATTGAATGCAATGGTGACTTGCATGTTCTTGTCTTGTGTATACGAATCACTATGTCCCAAAAGCATCACCTTATCATGGTGCGTCATGTAATTGTTTGAAATTGTTATCGCAGTGGACCCATGAATAGCATCAATCAACCCATCTTTGCAGTTGGACAACGAGCAATGGTCCACCCACACGTGGCTCCCACCGAAGATCGACACTCCGTCGCCGTCCGATATGGTCCTCCACCCGAAGTGCTCTGGGGAGTTCCTCACCATAGCGTTCCCTCCCTGCTTGCAATCGTGTATGTTCAGTCCGTGGATAATAATGTTGGTCACGAACTGGATGGTGATGCATGGCCCGCCGGCAATGTGGACGGACGCTCCCCGGCCGTCGATTGTCTTGAAGGAGTTCATGATCAGCTCCTCCTTGAGCTGGATGGTCATGTCGCGCTGGAAAATGATCCATAACGGCTCGTCTTGGATGACGGCGTGTCGTAGGGTTCCTGGCTTGGGGTTCACGGCGTCGTCGTCGCCGGAATCTGTGACCACGTAAAGCTTCCCGTCTCTTCCACCGATGGCGTTTTTCCCGAACCCTATCGCGCAATCTGCTAGACGCTGCCTGTTCTTCTCCCAGTTCGGATCGCACCGCCAGCAGTCGTCGATAGGGTTTCCAGTCCCACATGATAAGTAGCCCAAGTTCCTCCTAGACACTGAGTCGCTAATGTTCCTACAACCATAAACATGTGACACATTTTAATGAGTAACGTACTCTTATCAAATTTGTCTTGACATAATATGAATTTTGAGCACACATTCTGCAAATGATGTTCTCTTATCAAACTTACATTGTCAGACTGTGAATCTAGAACGCACATTGTGAAAAGAGTGGGGCAGATTCACAGTTTGTCGAGCTAACATTTTTCAAAAGACTTACTTCTAGAACCACACAAAATAATTACTAGCGGAGCCTTACCTTTGTACCTCTTGTACTACCAATTCAGGGTCTTGAAGATGAAGTGGCCTGCAGGAAATGAGGGTTGGGGAGAGGAGAGAGAAGAGGAGGAGAGAGAGAAGTGAGGGGCCTGAGGAGGGCCTTGCCATTTTTTGAATGTGCAAGGCACTGAGACAAGCACAGAGAGAGAAGGTGAGAGAGTGAGAGAGAGAGAGAGAGAGAGAGGAAGTGTGTTTGTGAATGGAAAGAGGGGAGGAAGGGGGGAGTATATATAAAGAGAGAGGGGATAATTAGCATGATTAAACTAAACATGTGGGACCCAAACTGCTACGTGATTTCAGGTTTTGACGGGAATCCAATTGGGTAGTTTTGGCCGTTAAGCAAGGCTTGAATAACGGTATAAAGGTCATTATTTTAATAATGTTAAGAAAACTAAATTTGTAGATAAAATTTTGTAAACTAAATGACATGAAAGTTGATGGTTAAATTATTACTTAAATGTTGATTATTATATTTATTTTTAATGATGACATTATTTACTCTGCAAACTTTGTCTACCTAGTATTATTCGGTCATTAAATACCTATCATAAACTAACGTCATCTTACTCTTTTGTTTTCTACTCACCTGTTACCTATGAATAACACTTGCACATTGCACGTGCTGATGATGCTCAGTGGTGAAGTGGGGCATGACATGATGGTTGTTACCCTTTTCCTTTCGTTTGAGTTTTGTTAGCGTCAATCATCTACTTGCGTGCAAAATTAATAGGATTTTCATATGCATCAACGGTTTAAAATTATTCTCATAAATACTAATAGGTTTTTTACTATTGTTGGCATAGACGGATCCATGAAGGGATCACAGTGGTTTCTCAGGCCCATCATAACATTTTGTTCATGAAGAAAAATTTAATGTTATGCTTATGATTTTCAAAGTTTTGTCGTAGACTCAGGGCCCTAATTCGATATTTTTTGTTTAATTTCTTTCATCGGGTTTGATTTGATGTTGGTGGATTGTATAGAGTTCAGGCAATCCATTGCTTGTGAGCTTTGAGGAGGCGGAAGAAAGAAAAGAAGAAAGACAGACTTGGGGGTTTAGGTTTAAGGAAAATGATGATGAGGACGGTATCATAGCAAATCCAAACGACGGTGGTCTGTTGCTCACCATACTGGTTATTGAACTCATACTTTAATACATTTTTATTGTTGATCCGATATGAGTTCCACGTCTCGATCAATTTCAGATACCCTAACGACCTACAATCGCCGCCCACACGCGATTGAGGGACTGACCATGGAACTGCTCCATATAACATTGATCATTACATATTCTATTTGGGTCTAAGTTTGCAAATCTTTGAGATAATTTTGGTAAAACCATAGTGCTGACTATGAACCCCACCACAACCATATGCGTTGAAAACACCTGCTTTTGGTTAATGTTGATTGATGTCCTTATTAACTTCTCCACTGCATGCTGTGTTTATTTTCCATAACATCAAATTAAGCTGGTAGAGTAGGTTTTACTCTTTAAGACGATACACAATTTAAGTAAGACCTTGTTGCATTTCATTTTCTTTTGAATAAAGCATTGTCCCATTTCACGTTGCCATTGACAGTGACACCAAATGTGGTGGAGAAATATGTGAAAAATGGAGAATATATCATTTTTACTTTGCTTAATTAGTCCCTAAAATTGACTTATTTGCAATGGTTATGAACAAACTACTTTTTTATTTTTATGAATATAATAATTTTAGCATAAAAAAAAATGAAATGCTATGAGTTTCGAGCTAGCAGACATGATGAACATAAAAAAAATATTATTTTAAGTACACCAATGACTAATTAGTACTCTAGCTAGGCGTGACAAATTCAAGGATTTAGTAACAATTCATATATATATATATATATATATATATATATATATATATATATAGTTCTATAGTTAATAAGTTTTTTGACTTTTGTGTATTTTCTACTCCGACAGGGTAATAACTGTGAGATATGGCTCACTTGGAGTGCTTTTAGAAAAATGTTTTTGTTCCCAAATCACTTAAAGTACTTCCTGAGCACCAGTTATATGCTTCTTATAGAAAGCACATCAAATATTTTTTTAGGATTTACTTGCATTTTTATTAAAGACTGGTTTCAAAAATATTTTCGTCAAAAACACTTTCAACCATTTTAAAATCACTTACAAACGAGTCCTCATTAGCATTAGTGAGTCTCATGTGAATATTATTTTCATAAAAGATACGTAATTTAGTAATGTGATCATTTTTTTATCAAGAAGATATCATAAACCGCTCAAATATAATCAAAGAAAGATTATTGAATTGCTCTCGCCAACCAACTTGACTCATATCAAGAGAATAGATTCTTGAGCATACGCTCATGCAAGCCTAAAATGAGCTCTACTAATCTCGAAAACGGTTACGTTTCTTCGAATATACGACATATTATCCAACAAACATAATCAGAAAATGTAATGCAAACCGTTTTTATCACATCACGTTTTTCAGTTTATTTTTAAATTTGGTAAGTGGATAAGGCACATAAAATTGTGACAATTGTGATGCATTTCGTGTGCTTCAAGAACAAGCAACGCCAGAAATTCTTGAGCGCCATATGAAATCTGTTATTTCTGAATTTAATTCAAGCAAGCAATTAATTATCCCTAAAATCCTCGTGGCAGAGGCACATGCATTTGCCCAAAAAATCAAACCCCCAAAAGCCCAAGTAGGCCCAAAGTGCTATCCTCCCCTCAATTTTTCTCTATTAAAATTTCTTGGCCGCAAACTTCGCGGAATTATTCAAAAAAGTGGCCCACCGTGTTGACATGGCATAATTGTAGCCTCCTCAGAAGCCGCGTGTTCGAAAGAACTCTGGCGTCGGTCTAGAAATTTTTCCATATGTCTAGAATATGAATCAAAATGCCAACGCGCACGCTATATGTAATTGTACAAGTAGAAAGATTTATTTTTATTTTTATGTGTCTTTCTATTTATATAAGACCATCTCCAACCCTTGGGCTAAAAGCCAAATTTTTTAACCCGGAAAATTTAGCTTTTAGCCCAGAAACATCTTTTCTGCTCCAACCCTTCTACCCTAAAATTTTAGCCCGGAATTATTAAAGAATGAAATTAGCCTAAATTTTTTTCTTAAATCAATTTTTTTTTAAAAATAAATATGTAGATTATTGTAAATTAATTTTATGAACATTTTAATCTAAAAAAATTTAAATTCCGATAAACATTTCGCATTTAGCCCAGGGGGAAAGCTGGGGGGTATTTGGCCCAGAAATAACATTTGGCATTTAGCCTAAAATTTTAGCATGGGTTGGAGAGTGTTTGGGGGGGTAATTTGGCTTTTAGCCCAGTGTTGGAGATGGTCTAAGAATATATTAAGTATATATTCGTATTTGGGACACACTTAAAAATCTCTCGTTCAATTTGATGACTCAGGCTTCCACGCAACAATTTATTCCCAACCGACGATACGATTGTCGTCTCCACGATTGCGGCCGTTGATTGTGGATGGCAGAGCAAGTGGTCACCGTTCAATTCTTTGAAGGGTGGGGCTGGATCGACTTTCTGAAGGAAACAGGGGTAGTGGACAAAAGCAAATTATGTGAAAGGTCTTTGTTAGCTGCTGGGTGGGGACTAGGGTGAGCGTGCGTAAGTAATTTTTTTTTTAAGAAATGATATTATTTATAAAAAAAAGATTAAATAAATACTCAGCCTCACAATGATCTTGTAATAGTGTGGTTTAAATTTATCTTTGACGGAAATCAAATCTAGGATTTCTCATTTACAAATGAAGATGAATATCATTAAACAGTAATACTAAATGGTAGCGTACATAAGTATTTTACATGTAACACTTTCATCTTTACGTAATATTACGGTTCAATAATACAAAATTACGTGCACATTTCTCCACACGACAATATATTATGAGAAGATAAATGTTAAAAAGACTTTATCAAAAGTTTAACGTCAGTTTTCATGCCAATATTATAAAATATTGTGTCAAAAACATGAGTAAGCAGAAAGTTCATGAAGAGTTTCACTTTTGAGAAAATCTTCTTAGCATTTCTTATGTATTATTGGAACCGAAGTACTACGATTGTACTCATACGAGCCATGAAGGGACCACCATGGTTCAAAGTAATTTCTATAAGATTAGAAGAGTGTTTCAGGTTAAGACTTTTGGACCCCTTTTTTAGTCTAAAATTCTAATTCCGTCACTGATTATACCGATCATGTTTCATATAAATTGTTAGAGAGAGAGAGAGAGAGAGAGAGAGAGAGAGAGAGAGAGAGAGAGAGAGAGAGAGAGAGAGAGAGAGAGAGAGAGCATGAGCAAAGCCATGTGAGTGAAGCCATGTGAGTGAAAACTACAAGGCAACCTACACATCCACTTGATACTTGGCGATCAGTTGAGATGCCATTTGGCATCATTTTCTCAACCAATGGTTTCTTTCATGCGCACATGCTGGAAGCTTCAAACTTCACATCATGCAAATATTCTTCTCAAATTTGTTGGAGTTCAATTTTCCCTAATTGCCTGCCTAATTTGTGGTTTTTCCTTTTCCCTCCCCCTCATCAAGTGTGAACTAGTTTGTTGATTAAGCTTTGTTTTTCTCACGGTTTATTGCCATCAACAGTTGATAATCGCTTACGTAATTGTTCTTGGTATTCCCGTTTTGCAAATTAAAAACTAAAATTGTGCGCCACCGACATTTTATTTACATGAAGACTTGTAATTTTGATTAGATTTTCTTTTTATTTATCTAGTCAAGTCAAATAGAATTATGCACTTTAGGCCATTGGCCAAAAAAATAAAAAGGAAGAGACTTCTGCACATATTTTTTCTTTTCTTACATGCACATTTATATTTGTTCGTATAAGCTAAAGATGATGCTATCCACACACCTTTTTTACTTTCCACATACCTCCTGTTAATTTCTGTCATTTGATATTTTTCAATTCATTCGCTCTAATGATGGAGAATTGAAAGAAATGTATAGATGGTAAAAAGAGACGTGTGGTTAGCACCACCCTACACAAAAATGTGATGAAGGAGAAGCGAAAAAGTAAGCAGAATATTTTCTCAACATAAAATCTTACAAGATGTTGAGGATGGTGTAAAGAGGGACCAACATGGCCACCAATCACCAAACTAATTCATTAATTTAGGTTTATTAGACAAACCACACCAATTATTAGGGAT